TGACAGTTGCCTATAAAAGGATGCCAGTGGAGAAGAAAAGCCTTAATTCTGAATTTCCTTATTTTGTGAAATCTACCTCAGCAAATGGGACCTTGGATGGGCAATATCTCTGTGAGAGTTGCAGTAGCTTCTTGCCTGTTTTGAGGTCTGTGGACACATGGCATCAAGTCAGGTAGCAATCTCCTGACTTAGCCTTGCTTTAAAGCCTGTGCTTTGGCATCTAATTACTCTACAAAGTCTCAGTTGAATCTGCAGTGTCCTCCTCACAGCAGAAGTTTCCCTCAGAGACTTGGGCAATATGTCTTTTGCTTTCTTCTTCTACCCTACCTCACTTTGTTTCCTTGTCCCAAATCCCACCTTCTTTTTGGCTAATGTGTGAGTGGCTCTTCCTGCCACCCTAGAAATGAAGGTGAGTGCATGGATTCAGTCATGCTTAGTGAGAGAAGAGTTATTGGCTCTAGGGTGAAAACTGGAAAGACGGCACTGTAGGGTGGCAATATGAAATGTCCACCAAAGCTGGCTGGGTTTCCAATTGCTGCAACTTGGAAAGCCCTCCAGAGGTTTCTCTGGTTTGGAAAGACTGCTGGATGGATGAGAATTTGCTGTTGGGAAATTTTTGGAGAAAATGAGTGATTAACTTTCTAAAATTGGCAAAGTAGCTGAAAATCTGTCTAGTGCCATGTTGTGTTTGGAGTAAGCTGTCCGGGGACTGGCAAGAGAACATTGTCTTCTTCAGCTAATGGGAGATGCCAAGACATCAGTGACAGTAGGGATGAAGGGAAAATGCACAAATTAGCTGTCCCAACAACAGGCTTGAAGGACTGACACAGATTACCTAGCAGCCTTGGACTACCCATCACCCTTGTGTAGGAACCATAAGGCAAAGTAGCTGTCAGTAGTTTCTTACAAGAGCAGGACCCATCCCAGGCTGGGATCCAGCTCTCTACTTGGGTGTAGGCCAGACACACTTACAGCAATGTAAACTAGTAGTTGCACCAGTGATGTCAATGCAGTTATGCTTTAATTGTAAGTACAAGGACAACAAGGCCCAGTGTGTTAATAGCCTAGTCTTACTCTCTGGGCACTGATTGGCTCTTTAATACTTTTCCCGTGGCTGCTGAAACTCAACTAGAAGCCTCCCATAGCATGCAACCTAGAGTGGGCCTGATGCAGTATTTGTTGCTAAGTGATGTTGCCCTCACCTTCCAATATAAAACAACTTGGGTATCTTCAGCTGAATCCAATTCTGTGTCCAAGTCACACATGTGAGATGCTTTATGACCACTGTATTTTTTTATTCTTCATAGTGACACTTAAGGTAGTTGGATACAATTACAGGTAGGCATGATGTCTCCCTAAGGTAGTGATGTCTTCAGTGGATTACCCACATTGCTTTCAGAATGACTGGGCAGGAATGCTCCCTCCCTTTCTCCTTGGCTGATGGTAGGAATGCAACAGCACCATGGCTTCCTGCTAGCACAGGAGTGTAGCTGTCTTCCTCTATGCCAGGTGTTTTTCATATATTTGCTGCCCACTTGATTTTTAGGCATAATGGAGCCTACATATTGGAAAATCTTAGGCTCGCAGCTCCGGAGGGGTATCAGGCTGTTTGGTAGGGTGGCTCACTTGGAATGCCTCTAACTCCAGGAGAGCTTTGTTGATTCTGGTTATTGTGGGGTATGGAGCAAGGTCCACTTTATATCTGCAAAAGGAACAGAGAGCAAGTTGGACACTTCCACCTAGACAGACTGGGCAGCAGCAAGTGCTAAGTACAACAGCATACCTATTCAATGAACCCTCAGAGCTGCGACCAACTCAAATAGAGGAAAAAGTGTTTTTCTCTCTCTTCCTTGTACTTAGTGTTAATTAGCATGTGGTAAGAACACACTTTTCTTAGTATGGATGCTTCCTGGGTATCTTACAGTCTCTGTTTGGGGATGCAGGTTTGCTTCCTATATGACTGTTGTGTCTGAGCACTTTTTCCCCTTTGGAGGAAAGCACTGGCTAAAGGAGGTTTCTTCACTAACAGCTTTTGTTCCTCTCATGCTAGAAGAATCACACAGTAAAGATGGGAGGTGGGGAGAACGTGTTATTCTAGTATACCTGAGCATCAACAGAAGAAAGATCAGGCTTGACTATCAACTAGGTATCTGGAGTGGGAAGTGGAGTCCATGGTGTTAACTGGCCCCTAAAGCTCACCCCTCATTTACCTTTCAGCATTGTACACCTGAGGGACCAAGCACAAGTCAGCCATGGAGACCTGCAATGGAGCAGAGAGAACTGGTCAAGGCAATTTAGAAATCACCCTACTGCCCATTACTTCACTGGCTGTGGACAGTTATCCATCCCAGAAGCCAGTTCCTGCCATACATCTTCCCCCCAGCATGCATACACGCTACCTGTTTTTACTTGGATACTTTGGAATTGGTCCTGCACAGAACAGGGGTTGCCTTCCTAACTGAGCTCCCACTGGGGCTGAAGTGGGCATTTGCTTTAGCTCCAAAATACAGCTAAACCCTTTGTGGCACCAGTGAAACTCAGCTGACAGCAAATGAGAACTGCTGTTCAACACACTATTGTTTAGTGTTTCTTTTTTCCCTTGACATTCAATTTGTATAACAGATAAAATTAAAAGGAAGAGGGGCCTGCCTGGCTCCTGGCCTGCCAATGGGATTAAAAACTTCACACTTGTTTGAGCAGGTTACTCACAACTGATGCTGGTGTAGGGCTTATAGGCTCTCCTCCACTTCTCAGAGAGATGTCAGTTCCCATGATATAATCTGACATTAATGCTGGTAGTCTCAGAAGAGTAGGACATGGTAGGGCAGAGTGGCACCTTAGTGACTAACTTGTTCAGAGAGGCATAAGCTTTCATAGGTAATGTCAGATGCTAGCACGGCTTCCTATTTAGCAGAGAGGCCATGAGGCCTGAACCGGCCCATGACAATGGAGAGGTGTCATTACAGGACAGAGAAGCAGCTGAGTGAATGCCACTCTGCTGTATCAGTTTGGGGAGATTGCAGCCCTCCCATCCAGCCCCTTTGTCTTGCCCAGATATTTCTTTTGTCAAAGTTACTACAATGACTAGAGATCTGGTTTAGAGCAGGAGATGCTTTTGAGTGCCTGTAGTCCCACAGCAGAAGCAGTCTGAGACCAGTTCCTCTAAAGGAGTTTGCCACATGATAGCAGGTGCTCAATTCTGACTGAGCAGTGGCAGTAGCACTGTTGCTATACAAAGGTCCTTTCTGCCTTATCATGGGTGGTGGTAGGGGGCAGTTACTGGTTTTCTAGCCTCAGCAGGGAGTGCTCTTCAAAAGCCCTGTTGGCAGCTCTGGAGCTGCAAAGCACAACTCCCTTTCTGAAAGCTAGGCAGGGGGGCAATGTAAAAAGGCTGCAAGGACAGTGACACCTGGGAGTCACTAACAGCTGCTTACCAGAAGTCCTAAGAGAGCTGTGTTTACACGCCCTGGGAACCAATTGCTAGTGTCAGCCTTGAGGACACAGGGCTTCTATGGCAACCCTGCCACTGAGCAAACAAATTCAAGTCTATCTCCAGAGGGAGGTAGGAGGGAGGGAGCCATCCAATGGGGAAGGGGAGGTAGCTATGAGCCTGTAAAGCTAGATAAGAAAGCCTCACTCATTTACATTATAATAGCAGCAGGAGGCCCCAGCTGCCCTGCTAGGCACTGTACACACTCAGTGAGAAACAGTCTCTGCCCCAGAGAGCCAAGAACCTGAACAGGCAAGCCAACAAATGGGAGGATAATAACAGGACAGTGTAAGCAGCTACCTGTCTCTGTGTGGCAGCTCCCCAGAGCACAAAGCATGAACTGCCACACACACATATCTTTCAGGACACAGTTTTGTTTCTCAATATAAAATTTAAGCAAAATGTCATGGCACAAAACATTTCAGTTCCTCTGGGCTTTTGTTCCTAGAGGCACCTGTCTTCTTAGGTTCTCCTGTGCAAGCAAGCCTCTCATCCCTGTCCCTCTCCCTACACTTGTGCAGCTTCTCATAGCCCTGTATAGGGAACATCTGATCACCTCCCAACTTGTTTTGCTAATAGATTTGGGCTGGATTATTCTATGATAAGCCATCCTGTTACACAGCTCTGTTTAAGAGAATGGGGTAAAGAGAAGGGGGGAGAGAGAGAGTGCGAGAGCGAGACAGAGCGAGAGAGCGAGAGAGAGCGAGCGAGAGAGAGCGAGAGCGAGAGAGAGAGAGAGAGAGAGTGTGTGTGTGTGTGTGTGTGTG